AGCCATGTTTTACGATCCATAGTTTACGAGCCATGGTTTACGAGCCATGGTTTACGATCCATAGTTTACGAGCCATGGTTTACCGAAGCAGAAGTCAACCCGTCCGCAGCCGTCCGCTCCATTCCTTTCCCTTCCTTTCCCATCCTTTTCCGTTCCTTTCCCATCCTTTCCCTTCCTTTCCCTTCCTTTCTTATCCTTTCCCTTCCTTTCCCTTCCCTTTTCCTTCCTTTCCCATCCTTTCCCTTCCTTTCCCTTCCTGTCCCTTCCTTTCCCTTCCTGTCCCTTCCTTTCCCATCCTTTCCCTTCCTTTCCCTTCTCCCCACCCATTTCCAGCCACTCCGTTGCACCCACGCCGTCCGCAGCCATCCGCGCAGTTCTCCGCAGCCAAGGTCGCTCATCACCAGCGGCTTCTTCTCCCCACCCATTTCCAGCCACCCCCTTGCACCCACGCTGTCCGCAGCCGTCTGCGCAGTTCTCCGCACCCATTTGCCGTCCGCAGCCGTCCGCGCAGCCAAGGTCGCTCATCACCAGCGGCTTCTTCTCCCCACCCATTTCCAACCACCCCCTTGCACCCACGCCGTCCGCAGCCGTCCGCGCAGTTCTCACCGAACCCATTTGCCGTCCGCAGCCGTCCTCGCAGCCAAGGTCGCTCATCACCAGCGGCGTCTTCTCCCCACCCACTTCCAGCCACTCCGTTGCACCCACGCCGTCCGCAGCCATCCGCGCAGTTCTCCGCACCCATTTGCCGTCCGCAGCCGTCCGCGCAGCCACGGTCGCTCATCACCAGCGGCTTCTTCTCCCCTCCGCGCAGTTCTCCGCACCCATTTGCCGTCCGCAGCCGTCCGCGCAGCCAAGGTCGCTCATCACCAGCGGCTTCTTCTCCCCACCCATTTCCAGCCACTCCGTTGCATCCACGCCGTCCGCAGCCGTCCACGCAGTTCTCCACACCCATTTGCCGTCCGCAGCCGTCCGCGCAGCCAAGGTCGCTCATCACCAGCGGCTTCTCCTCCCCACCCATTTCCAGCCACTCCGTTGCACCCACGCCGTCCGCAGCCGTCCGCACAGTTCTCCGCACCCATTTGCCGGCAGCCGTCCGCTCCATTCCTGTCCCTTCCTTTCCCTTCCTGTCCCTTCCTTTCCCTTTCCCTTCCTTTCCCTTCTCCCCACCCATTTCCAGCCACTCCGTTGCACCCACGCCGTCCGCAGCCGTCCGCGCAGTTCTCCGCACCCATTTGCCGTCCGCAGCCGTCCGCGCAGTCAAGGTCGCTCATCACCAGCGGCTTCTTCTCCCCACCCATTTCCAGCCACTCCGTTGCATCCACGCCGTCCGCAGCCGTCCACGCAGTTCTCCGCACCCATTTGCCGGCAGCCGTCCGCTCCATTCCTTTCCCTTCCTTTCCCATCCTTTTCCGTTCCTTTCCCATCCTTTCCCTTCCTTTCCCTTCCTTTCCCTTCCTTTCCCATCCTTTTCCGTTCCTTTCCCATCCTTTCCCTTCCTTTCCCTTCCTTTGCCTTCCTGTCCCTTCCTTTCCCTTCCCTTTTCCTTCCTTTCCCATCCTTTCCCTTCCTTTCCCTTCCTGTCCCTTCCTTTCCCTTCCTGTCCCTTCCTTTCCCATCCTTTCCCTTCCTTTCCCATCCTTTCCCATCCTTTCCCTTCCTTTCCCTTCCTTTCCCTTCCTTTCCCTTCCTTTCCCTTCCTTTCCCTTCCTTTCTCTTCTTTTTCCTTCCTTTTTCCTTCCTTTCCCTTCCTTTCCCTTCGTTTCCCTTCCTTTTTCCTTCCTTTTTCCTTCCTTTCCCTTCCTTTCCCTTCGATTCCCTTCCTTTCCCTTCCTTTCCCTTCCTTTCCCTTCCTTTCCCTTCCTTTCCCTTCCTTTCCCTTCCTTTCCCTTCCTTTCCCTTCCTTTCCCTTCCTTTCCCTTCCTTTCCCTTCCTTTCCCTTCCTTTCCCTTCCTTTCCCTTCCTTTCCTTTCCTTTCCCTTCCTTTTCTTTCCTTTCCTTTCCTTTCCTTTCCCTTGCACCCACGCCGTCCGCACACCACCGTTCGAGCCAGGTCGCTCCCCCACGCGGTTAAACAACTAAACGAGAACCCAAGCATCGAAGATGCTTTTGGGAATAAAATGACAAAATGAAAAAAAAACAACGAAAAATCAAAGTTTTGTTGTTTTTTTTTCTGTTTTTTAATTGATTTTTTTGGTGATTTTTCCTGTCGGCTGTTTTTTTTTGGTGATTCTGTTTTTGAGTGTTTTTTGTTAAAATCATGTTTCTCTGTTGAAACTGAAGCCATAATGATAAAATAAATGCATGCTATCTATCTTATTGTACACGTTAAATCATGCAAAAAAAACGCTATGTAGACTGTGCACTCTGTAGACTGCACATGGTTTGGAAAGAACAAAGGGAAGTCTGGTATCCATATTTAAATAAATCGGTCAAACGTGTTTCTTTGGCTTACCACTTCAGTCATCACCATCACCACCATCATCATTATCAATCATTACCAATCATCATCATCACCATCACCATCATCATCATCATCACCATCATCAATAATGATCATCATCAATCATCATCATCATCAAAAAATCATCATCAACAACATCATCATCATCATCACCACCATCATCATCACCATCATCAATAATGATCATCAACAATAATGATCATCATCATCATCATCACCACCACCATCAATCATCAATAATCATCATCATCAACATCAGCATCATCATCACCACCATCATCATCACCAGCATCATCAGCAATGATCATCAACAATAATGATCATCATCTTCTTCTTCAATAATGATCATCATCAATCACCATCATCACCATCATCACCATCATCATCATCATCATCACAGTGACCTTCACAACTACCAGTAGCATTAGTCTTTTGTCGTTCGAGTATTTTTTCTACCAGTATCTTTTCGCAAACAAATCAGACATCCACTAGCAAGGAAACCCCCCGATGGTTGTATACAGTTTCTTCCAGCAGCATGTGGGTTTGTCCGACCAGCATGTTCTTTTAGAATTGACGTTTATCGGGCTATCCTCTTCAGTTCGAAAGCCATACATACCTCCCAGAATTATCAAACTAATTTCCTATCTTTGAATCGTAAGGACTTTTGATACCCAACATTAATAACGTTAATAATTAATCATAATGTGTCCTGTTATGTTCTGTTCAGAATTTCCTAGATTTCTTCCCATTTTCTTCCCATTTTTTTTTATATATCCCATGGATCCCCAAAGCCATCCTGCAGCTGCCGCTCTCCCGGAGCCAGCACCCAGCTACGAACTCGACGGACTCCTCCGCCACGAGGTCGAAGAGTTGCCGTCGCCAGGCCAGGCAGCAGCCATCCGCGCTGCTGGGACGCGGGCGCTTGCGCCACGTGGAGCCGTAGCCCAAGCGCTCCTGTGCTGGGCAGTCTGCTGGGCATGGGGGTGAATGGCTCAAAAATGCAAGGAATATGGAGGTTTCCATTAATAAATGGTGGTACCTACATGGAAAGTTCATAATGGAATAACATACCATTAAATGGATTTGGGGGTGCCCCTATTTCAGGAACCCCATATATATATAATTAAATATATATATATATAATTATATAAAAATATATATATATATATATATACATGTAGATGAGAAGCCTAGGGTGTGGGGTCAACCACCCCAAAATAGAATCCAAGCAATGACTCAAGGAGATTCGCAGGCCCATTCCAATGGTCCCATGGCTACTGACCCATCGATCTTCTCCGAGGATCTAAGGCAGGCTTGAAATGATCCTGGCCGCGCGGGAGCATTCCTGGTGGAAATTCTGGCAGTAAATTGGGTTTAATCCCATGTAACTAGAAGGTGTCCATCATGGTAGAAATCGCCAAGACCCTTTCCCCCCAAAAAAATGAAGAATTGACTTGGTTAATTAGATCGATTTACGGCAAATTTCAGGAATCATGCCAGTATACCAGCTGGATCTTTCCAAACATGCAGCATGGCTCTACCAACCCAATAGTGTTGTCCCCAAACACATGCAATACTGCTGGAGCTTTTCGAGATTCGGTGGGTGCTACATGACTGCACCGATGTCCTGGCCTTGATTACTTGATGCCCAGCAAGACATGCGATTGTTCGTGGGATGTGATAGGTCCCCGCAATGAAAACAAAATAAGCTGTATTATAATCTATCATATGTATATATGATATATGTATATGTATATGCACCGGTTAGCTTGCAGTATGCTTGCAGTATCCATCAATATTCAATATCCAGAGCTGTTCATCTGCACCTCGTAGTGGTCGCACTCAACTAGCGAGAGCCTGGGCTGCAGGCGGCCCCTTTGGAAGAAATGGTCGAAAGATCTCAGCAATGCCTATGGTTCACGGGCACAATGATGCCAAACCTGCTCAGCATCTGCTAGCTATGTGGATGTTCATAACTTGGTTATGGCGAGCTGCTTCGCATAAAAAACACTTAATATATTGCAGTAAGCAAATAAGCTTCTGAGTTTGCCATACAGCTCCCGAATCCTCTCAGAAAATTAGTTGGCCTACATTGGGATGAGGCCTCTCTCTCTCGCTCTCTTGCCGTAAAAATCGGGAAAAACACATGGAACATCGAAGAGCCATGAAGAGCCATGAAGAGCCAGGGCGCAAATCCGCATCCATTTCTCCGATAACATCAAGCAGTCGGTCTTTTCGAGTTTCCTGACTTTGGTTACACAGGCTTGTGACTGCAGGGCTTGCAGGCCACAAATACTCAGGTGACCCAGGTGCTATTCACCAATCTTCTTGGGTTGTGAGGTCAACGCAGTTGTTCTTCAGGCTGTTTCAGTTTGGCTCATTGATTTAAATTTGTGAGCACAGAGACAAAATGCACAAAATGGTTCACCCATGTTTTCACCCTAAACACTGGATGGTTCGATATATGGTTCTGTCGGTAGCGATAGTCCATCACAGTCCATCTTTCCGCCATGCCTGGCCATGCCCGTCTGGCCCGAGC